AGTGGGCTCAATTTGCACTATTTCTAGCAGTCTGCAAAGGCCCTATCTTACATTGTGATTTTTCATGCAATACTTTCTCTTCTTCTAATAGTATATTTTAGTATATTTCCTAGCTGCTGCAATCTTTTGTGTCTCCATTTTGTGATCATCTTCAGTATTTGGGATACTGCTTTGTTTTCCACATTTGTTGGCAGATTTTAGTTAGAACTGTGATTGATTCTCCCTCTGTGGTTAGTAGCAATTCTATGGGTATGTCTCCTGTTCCTGGTGATTTATTATTTCCAAATGCTTTAAGTGCAGCTTTCACTTTGCTTTCCAAAATTTGGGGTTCATTTTGGTACATTTCCTCTTCCCATTCATCCTCTCACATTCCTTATATAGCTCTTCTATGCATTGTTTCCATGTGTTGTTTTTTTTATTTCATTGTGCTCATGCATTATGTTCCTCCTCTGATCATACAGCATCCCCACCATCGGTTTAAATTTCTCTTTGAATTCCCTAATCTTGTGGAAGAGGTCTCTTGTTCTTCCTTTCTTGTTGTTTGTTCCTATTTCTCTGCATTGATTGTTTTAATAATTTTCTTTGTCCTTTCTCACTAATTGTTGAACAGGTGCATTCATAGTTCTGATTATGTTACTGTTTCCCTTTTCTTTTCTTCTGATTTCCTTCAACTGCTTGAAGCATTCCATAAATTTTTCCATGTCTTTTTCCTAGTTGATCATCCATCAGTCACAAAAGAAAAAGTTCAGGTTTTAATTCTTTACAAAAATGTATGAATATGCACCCAGTACATTTTGGCTTTCTCACAAGTTTGCCAAATATGATAAAATGTCCCTTCTTGTTTTTCATATTTCCATAATACATATGATGATGATGATGATGATGATGATGATGTGTGTGTGTGTGTATGATATGACATAGAAAGCAAGAACACTGCAAAAAACATTCCCTGGCCAGGAATCGAACCCGGGCCACGGCGGTGAGAGCGCTGAATCCTAACCACTAGACCACCAGGGAAGGACAAGGACATTTTGCTCCTGCTGTTGCTCTAGGTGGCCCTTCAACATGCCTGACACACTCTTAATTCTCCCCTACATTTGGAAAAAGAAATTTCATTTTCCCACTCCCTGATGCATACAGGAGTACTAGTTTTCCAGTAACCTCTTCCCCTTGTTGTTGGTGTGTGCCTCCAAGCTGTTTCTGACTTACAGCGACCCTAAGGCAAACCTATCATGGGATTTCGTGGCAAGATTTGTTCAGAATGGGTTTGCCTTTGCCATCCTCTGAGGCTGAGTCTCCCCCAAGTCCTAAGTAAAAAGAAAAATTGGCTGCTTGATCATCTACCATAGCGTTTGTGTATTTGTTGTATTTACAGGGATTGTGCATCCTGCAATGAGTCAAAAGGTTAGCCCCCAGACACCACACAATGTGCCCCCTTCCTTCCCTAGACCCCAAAGTCCTACTGCATATAGAGTCTCCCCTTTGCCCATTCGAAGAAAAGCCAGGAAGACCCAGATTGCCTCCCCTTCACAAAAGCAAAAAGGTGCCTTCTCTGAGGCTTGAACTTGGGATGTTCAGATTATAAAACTGATATGTTGTCTACTGTGCTAAGAAGACTGCTAGAAAAGAGGGCCATTGTATGCCTTTTCTATGCAGATCCAATCCAAGCCTGGACAGAAAAATAACACCTTGGCAAGGCAGTGGTCCTGGGAGAAAGCCAAAACCCTTCCCTGGCCGGGAATCGAACCCAGGCTATGGCGGTGAAAGCGCCAAATCCTGACC